AGCGATAGGCCTACTCCTCCGTTATCCTTCACCAAATCCGCGAATGCTTAATAACCGCAACAAACAGACGCCAATATTTTAAACTTTTGATTTTCTATGTGTGTTCAGAAAAGAAAAGAACAAAATCTATGATTAAAATATAAAAAGAGAAATTGCCAAGAATGACTTTGCAAAGTGGGGTATTTATTTTATAAGCCTTTTTATATATAAAAAATGTGGTATTTATTAAAATGGTCTTTTGTTGTAAGAAGATTTGGGAGGTTATGTAAAAAGACGTAAAAAATCTGTTACAAACATTTATCTACGAAAAATATTACTCTATTTATTTTTCAAATTTAAATGTAAATAAAAAAGATAATATTTTTTATAAAAATAATAAAATTATAATAAAACAAAAATGAAATTTTATAAAATGAATATTATCTAAAATGGCGTTTGCAATTGGCATTTGCAATCAGCGTTTATGACCAGTTTTTGCTACTAATGTTTGTAATTAGTATTTGCAATCAGCCTTTGCTATGAGTGTTTGCAACTAGTGATGTTTGCGATCAATGTTTACGATCGGTGTTTGTGATTAATATATGCATTTTGAATTAAGGTAGACTTTTGGATTTTGTGAATGTTACAATAGAGTTATTTGTGATACAAAAATAATACATCATTAGTGATAGATTTAATTAAAAATAAACATGTAAAACAGAATGATAGCATATTTGTTTTTTAAGTGAAAGCAAGTTTTTTTGTAAGATCTTAAAATTAAGTAGACCATCTACAATCGGCGTTTACTATCAACAGTAGACTTTCTAAATTTTTGTGAATGTTATAGTAAAATTATTTATAGTATATAATATATTAAATCATTGTTGATAGATTTATTATAAAATAATCCTGTAATATAGAATTTGGACATAAATTATGTGATACGTATGGGGTATGTGTTGTCCGAGTATGAAAAGCTGCATCTCTAGGTTTCGTCTTTTGGAGGAATGAGCGATATATGGTTCCGGGGCGGAAATCATAGGAGTCCTGCAAATAAGAGAAAACAAGTGAGCCAGACTTTTGGGTGGACAGAAAAGAGGTTTCTCTCCTGAAGGTTCTCTAACGCTCAGGCCAATGCACGCCCAAATGGAAACAAGTACTCGGGAAGGTGAGTTTAGAGGTGGCTTAAGGGTTGAGTACCCCGTCCGAGGATCGTGGTACTCGTCTAATATTTGGTGAAGGATAGTGTACAAGGCATGTACCGTGAGAAAAGTGGGGTAGGAGCTCTCTCCGCACGGATATAAAGTAGAGGACATAGGTGAAGAGAATACTTATCTCTCTAGGCATCGCCATCGGGAAACGGTGAGCATTTCCTTTTAGGTTAACTGTGTTGTGGGGCTCGGGGTAAGCTCCGGCGAGGCGGAGGTCGGAGGTTTTCCCCTTGATACAAGTGTTTTTACCACTTGTGACTCAATTTCTTAAGTCTAAGATCATATCATTGTAGACTTTAGGTATCAATCCATTCAGAGAATTTGAAGCAATGAGAATTCATGAAGTTCTATAAGCTAAGCCAATCAATAAGAGAGTTTTACTAATTTAACAACCTAAATGAATCATCAAACAAGCAAAAGATAACATTGAACTACGATGCATGACAAATAACTTAGAAACTCAATACTTAGAAAATAGAGCAAAAACAGAGTAATGATCAAGCAAGCAAATTCAAAATTGATAAAGAAGGGTTCATAAATAGGATAATTGATCCAAGACAATCCTAAGCTTCAGATGTAATGTTCAACCAATCAACAAATGCAAGATCCTTTAGCATAGAACTCAATCTATATAAATCAATCCAATCTCTTAACAATGATTCCTTTCTTCACATCCTAATCAAGATCTAATTCACATTAATGAAAAGCAATATGGTCAAGCATAAAGAAACAGTCATATCTAGCGAAGATGCTCCCTAGTCATCCATTCTGATGTGTAAGGATAAGCAAATCCAATAATAGGGTGGTTCATGCATTTCATCAAACACTGTCGATGCAAGACAACGTCTAATTTCGAAATCTAAGTGATCAGCAAAGATTATGCATTAAGAACACATAGAAATGAAGGATCTAACATTATTTATCCCTAAAAACACATCTTAGGCCTTTGATCATCCTAGATCTATCTCATCTATAAACCAGAATTGACTACTCACAAATCATGTTTAATCTATCAAAAACTAAGCAAAAGATGTAAGAAATCATGATCATAAGCAATAACAAGACAATAGACAACAAGAAATGCAAACTTCTATTAAGAATTTAAAATTATTGCTAATACCAAAAATCTAGAAAAAGCTTAAGAACGAGAGAGAGAGAGAGAGAGAGAGAGGTTGTAGATAAGATAACAGCATAAAACTAAAGATTAATTGTTGATAAGATATAAAGATAAGGTTTGCTTTATATAGTTAAATAATTAGGCTCTAGTCAAACCAGGTTCTAGTCAAATCCCTAGTCAAAGATATTGACCAAATTCAAAGTCTGGATGGAAGGAGATCGCATCGGCCACCTTGCCGGTGCAGTCGCCAGTGTAAACTCGCACCGAGGTGTAGTCGCCGGTGTGAACTCGTGAAAACTTGGGGTTCCTCTTCAGCGAGGTGTAGACGCTGCTGTGAGTCGCCGGTGTGAATTCTTGAAACTTCTGGTTCTCTTGCACTGAGGAGTAGATGCCGGGCAGATCGCCAGTGTGAACCCATGAAACTACTGGCCAACTTGCAGCGAGGTGATGTAGCAGATGCACTACCCGGTGTGTGATACAAAGGTTTTGTCTCTTCTCAATCACCCTCCATACTAATTAGTTGTAGTATAGTATAGGGTTTTATCAATCCAAAGAGATATGAATAGATGTCAATAGAATTAGGAGCAGAAAGCTTTTAAGTCAAGTGAATTCAGAGAAAGAGTGTTGCTTAGCAACTAAACTATCAACCTAAAAGAACCAAGAGCCAAGCATAACTCAAGAAAGCAATATCAAGCAATGATCCAATGCAAAATAGAGTAGCAAAAACAGAGCACTAAAGCAAATTCGAAATTCAGATAATAAAAGACAAGCTCCTAGATGTAGTTATTGACTTTGGGGAATTCAAAGACTAAGGCTGTTTCAAACATCATTGACAATGCAAACAAGCAAGCAATGCTAATTCCTAGGCATAGAGTTCACAATCAAGCAAGTTAAGTCCAATCTCTTGATAAATAACCATTTGCTAATCATCCTAACAAGAACTAACTCTCATTAGTGTTAGAACAATCAACAAGCAAGAAAAACCAACTCTATTCAAGCCAAAATACTTTTCAGACAGTCAATCTCTTGAGCTAAGACCAGTAAATCCTCTATTAAACAAGATCAGCATTTCATCAAACACTTTGTGGGCATAAGATGAAGTCTAAATCTAGATTCATGTGATCAAGACAATTCTAGCTTAAACACAAATTAATAGAGAGAATCAACCTAATTAAAAACTAACAAACTCTAATCGAGCCTCTAAATTCCCCATCTAAGAACTCTAAAAGAACTACTCACTCATCATCATGGAAAATACCAAATCACAAGAGAAAAAGATGTGAAACATGATTAAGAGGGAGATTAGAGAAGATTTGATTATGCAAATACAAAACTTTAGATTAAAAAGAAGATATTGTCTTACAAAGATGAAAGAACACTTAAAAAACTAAGCAAGATCAAGACTTGGTTAAAAACCATTAGTCCAAGCTTATTTATATTAAATGTTAAAAACCCTAAAGCAATGACAAAATTGTAATAAAAACATTTTAGATTGGACTAACATCGATCACTTGTGATCAATGTGGATGATTGATGCTGGTCTACTGGTGTTTGATATCGATCAGTTTTTGATCGATGTGTTTGATTGATGTGTACTTTAAAACTCTCGGATCACATACATCAATCAGAGATGATCGATTATGAGTATCCGATATGGTTGTCCTGTGTCTTGACATCGATTGAATTTCCCAACTTTCTGCTGCTTTACATCAAACAATGTAGATTTCAAGGTTGATTAATGTTGTACAAAAAGTCATTTTCAAATTAACGAGAGAATAACCAAAATAAATTATAGATTTAGAGTAATTTGTATTAAAATGATAATTTATGTATTATTCAAACATAAATTTTGTTACTCTCTCTCTCAAATTTTTATAAATCCTTAAATTCATTTCCGGTTGTGGTCGTAATACGAAAACATAGCCGACCAAGCATCAAGTTCTCTCTCCGGTTCAAAATTTATGGTCTAATAACAATTAACAAGTCAAAACTCACTAAAGGTTAGTTAAAAAGTCTGCGTCGAATCTCCCTTTTAATAGCTGCCGCTAGTTCTCACCAAGCAAAAGCTCGTTTGGAGTTCGTGAGCGACATCGAAATCTCTGTTTGGATTGATAACCATTTTCCTCAATCTCTCTATATCGTCGTTTCCTACAGACAATTCTATGTCAGGTAAAGTCCCTTTCTCCTTATTTCTCTTTTGATTCTGTTTGTGATCATATCATATATTTCCACATTTTCCAATCATTTTTTTGGGTGTTTCGACATACCCAGATTGTAAACTAATTGTGCTCTGTTTTGGATTACACTTTAGGGTTCTTGTTCCACTATAAAAAGTTGAAATTTTTGATGTTATGGGTTTATGTTGAAGCTTTTTTGTAGGATTTTAAGTTGAATTTTTGTTATTTCCACATTCTCTAATCATTTTTGGGGTTTTCCGACATACCCCCAGATTGTGAATTAATTTGTGTTCTCTATCGGACTATGGTTTATGGTTCTTGCTCCAGAAAAAAAAAATTAATTTTGAGGTTATGGGTGTTTACTTTGAAGCTTTAGGTGGGGGTTTTAAGCCAGTATTTTGTTATTTCCGCTTTCTCTAATCTTTTTTGGGCGTTTTCGACATACCCAGATTGTGAATTATTGTCAATTCTGTGTCTGATTATGCTTTTAAGTTCTTTTTCCACGAAAAAGTTGATATGTTGATTTTATGGGCGTTTATAGTGAAGCTTGATATAGGTTTTTAAGCTGATTTTTTTTGTTATTTCCACACCTTTTAATCATTTTAAGGTTTTTTTTACCTACCCAGATGGTAACTTATTTATGTTATGTGGTTTAAAAGTTTTTGTGCCATGAAACAAATTGGAATTTCCAAACATTTTTTTACGGTTTATGATTTAGTAATTATTTGTACTGAATGAACAAGTTGTTATGCTTTAATGGTTATGTTCCATGAACAAGTTGAAATTTTGAAGTTATGGGTTCTGTTTAAGTGACTGATATCGCTAATTTCTTGTTATTATGTTGGTTTTACAGATAACCAAGAACCAATCTTGGTGAAAGAGGAGAGTGTGGTAGGTATCCCATCTCCACTCTTGAAGCTCAAAAGCTGGCAATGGTGGGTTCTTGTGTCCATCAACATCTTCTTCCTCATTGGTGGTCAAGCTGCTTCAGTCCTTCTCGGTCGGTTTTACTACGATCAAGGCGGAAACAGCAAATGGATGGCTACTCTAGTTCAAACCGCGGCTTTTCCGATCCTCTACATCCCGCTCTTGCTCCTTCCTTCTTCTCAGACGGACGCAGACTCTTCAGAGCCATCTTCTTGTTCTCTTAAAACCATTGTCTTGATCTACGTTTTGCTCGGTGTCATCATCGCTGGAGACAACATGTTATACTCTGTTGGACTTCTTTACCTCTCTGCATCGACTTATTCGCTCATTTGCGCGACTCAGTTAGCTTTCAACGCGGTCTTCTCTTATTTCATCAATGCTCAGAAGTTCACTGCTTTGATTCTCAACTCCGTCGTCCTCCTCTCTTTCTCTGCTTCCTTGATTGGCCTCAACGACGATGCAGATGCTCCTTCAGGTGTCTCTAGATCTAAATACATTGTCGGGTTTATCTGTACTCTCGCTGCATCTGCTCTCTACTCTCTCTTGCTCTCCCTTATGCAGTTCTCATTCGAAAAGATTCTTAAAAGAGAGACGTTCTCTGTGGTTCTAGAGATGCAAATCTACACTTCTTTAGTCGCGACTTGTGTATCGGTTATTGGGCTTTTCGCTAGCGGGGAATGGAGAATGCTGAACGGAGAAATGGAAGGTTATCACAAAGGGCAAGCCTCTTATGTACTGACTCTAGTCGGGACCGCGGTTACGTGGCAAGTATGCTCTGTCGGAGTTGTGGGTTTGATATTTCTGGTCTCGTCGCTCTTCTCGAACGTCATTAGTACTCTGTCTCTAGCTGTGACTCCACTTGCGGCTTTGGTTGTGTTCAGAGATAAGATGAGTGGTGTTAAGGTTATGTCGATGTTGATTGCTCTTTGGGGTTTTGCTTCTTATGTTTATCAGAATTATCTTGATGATCTGAAAGTTAGACGAGCGAGGAAACAAGCTGGTCAAGCCGGCAGGGTTGATCCGGTTTGCTGATTCTGTGGTGGTTTAGGCAAGAGGTGTTGGTTTTAGGTTGCTTTACTCTATGGTTTTTAGATTAAGCAATAATAATTGTCATTTGTTTGACAAGCTTACTTGGTCTTGTCATATTGTTTTCCAAAAATCAGATTTGTCGTACGATTAAACCTAAGGGATCTAATGTATTGGTGCGTAAATTTTTACGAGAATAAGGAGTCAGAATTGGATTGAAATTCTTTAATCTCATTTTGTTACTGTTGCATAGAATTTGGGAATGAATAATCTTGTCTCGTTTCATTTCAGTAATATATTTGGGACAGGAATACTAAAACGAATGCTCAAAATGTATCTCACATGTCATTCATATAAAGGTTGGAATGGGACAGAAATGAAAGGGAAAAAAAAATGAATATGTTAGTGATAATTAAATTTTATTACTCAGATAATAAAACATAAGTGTATTTTGAAGAAAAAAACTCTGTAAATCATATTTTCTTGCAAATTTACTTTTAATTTACAAAACAAATGCGGATAAAACCTACAAAGAATGAAGTTGACTTATATAATATAATTTTCCAGTGTATTTTTTAAAAAATTGAATTTATTATTACATAGATAAGAATTTCTAAATTTAAAATTTAAAATTAAATTATTCGTTGTGAAGGTTTCGATTTGGTATGTAATCTTTTGTATATCAAAAAAAAAGATAACAAGAATAAAATATAGATGTAACTGAATTGTACGGGTTTGACTTGCATTTTTTTGCAAATTAAGAGTAAACCTGCAAAAAAAATCTCCCTAAAACATACTTCAACTTATGAAGTTTTTTCAGATGTTCATTAAAAAAAAGTTCAAATTACCCTAATAGGATCAGAATTTGATATGTTATCCAAATTTTCCATCTTATATTTTGTCATGAAGCATATTTTTGATACTACTTTTAGATAATCTAATTACTTGTTCTCAACTCTTATTGCTATTTAGTGTCATGATATCCGAAGGGACCGTTGTTATCCGTTCCCAAACCGAAATGGACAACACTAGGTGAAATCAAGAATTTCGTTTCCAAAACTGGATTTGAAGCTTAATCCAAATTGAAACTGCGTTTTTATATGGTGTTTAAACTTGATCCTTTAAACTTGATCCAAATAGAAAATGCATTCCTAGTTTTAGCATACGAATGTAAATACGGTGGAATCAAACAAATGGGACACAAATATTTAACTTTAATTTCTTACAAGACATACAAGACAAAGTTATGTTAAACATGGGACAAGGAACGAGATACATCATAGTTTATTAGACTAAAATTAACACAATTATTAAGGATCCAGTCTACGGCTGCTAGATTAGAATTGTGATTAGGCCAAAAGCCAGAAATTTTTCTGCCATCGTGTGTTAATTAAGTAGCCACTAACACCATTGCTTTGTTTCCTCACACCAATTGTCAAGCAATCTGCACCGTTGATGCACCGATTCACGAGCTCCTCTGATCTGCTGGGTCCACATAAGCTACGTACAAAACGACAAAATAAAAGAAATGAAATTATTATTGAAACGAGAGAATCATGATGGGGAAAAGAGATCTAAAGGTGGAGATTACGCACCAGGAGATGAATGGTGTAGATTTCTTCTGACCCAATACAAGAACAGAGACTTCAAGTTTCGTCACTTGGCTTAGTACAGTTGATAGCTTTGGTCCTTGAATCACCAACGCCTCCACGTCCACCTTTTCAACAAAAAAATTACATAAATATAGTAATTATGTTCTCATGATTCATTAAATTTTTGATGCTAAAAAGGAGATTTGTATTTACATTTCTTTAACTTCTTCAAAATAATATTAAACTCTCATGGGAATTTTCAAGTGATTAATTACAATTAAAAAATGAACAATTATAATATTAGAAAAATATCTTGACAATTTACATAGAAATCTTAAAAATTACGAAAAACTATACCTGATTACATGTTAGTTGTTTCAAATATTTTTCCTTTTCAGATGCAAAATAAATTATTCTTAAATGGGTAAGTAGATTTTTTTTTTTAAGTAACACATACTCATGTTACCCAATACCAACTAATGCATAAACTAAGATCTAATAGTCAGTTTAAAAATATTAGATCTAAACTAGGAAAGTTGGATCTTTAACTGAAAAAGCTTACAACAAGGAATGATGAAAATACTTTTCCATCCAATATTTTTTTTTTTACAAAAAAGAAAAGTGAGGAGCCAGTGGAATCAATTAGTCACCATGACCATCTCAGAGACAGGTTCTCTGCTTTTTTCCTATCTCCAACACTCACGCATGCAAAACTCACTACTCAAGTAGCTCAACACATCTTACCATTAACCAAAGACAAAATTAAAACCCAAATCCAGATTAGTACATTTCACTAACTAACTCCTTAAATGTTAGCAGGACTAGTAAACTTTTAAAGTGAGTTTCTAGTTTTTGTTACTAAAAAAATTGCTAATAATCCAATCAAGATTATAATAATTTAATTTTCCTAAAGTCTACCTTAGTTTCTTATTAATTTGAAATTTCTTAAGACACAAAACTCTACAAAGCCTAACAATTTTTTAAGATATAAATTTGAGAGTAAAGTAATTAGTTACCTCGGGTTTACAAGCTTTGCAAAGAGAACCAAGTGATTGAACCAAAGAAGGAGAAGCTTCATCATGAGGAGACACAACATGAAGAAGAGTCATCAAATCTCCTTTACTAGTCAAATGAGTCAAAGCCCACATCATAGCATGTTTCGACCTTGAAGTCTCATCCACCACAACCATCACTCTCTTAGTTCTTGTAGCCGTATCACCGCCGGAGTAAATCCCATAGAGACCCTCCATTGAAGAGTAACCGCCACCGCCACAACCACCGCCTGTTTCGTCGGTGAAGGCCGTTGAGCTATCTCCGAATGTCCACCTTCTAGAAGCCGACCTCCAGCCTTCTTTTCTGCTAAGTTGCCTAAGGATTGAGTTTCTTGAAAACTGCATTTTGTTGGGAGTATGGTGATGGGAACTATAAGCTTTTAGTAATGTGAATCAAGAAAGAGAAAGAGTAGGTAGTAGGAGACTATTATAGTAGAGGGAGAAAGTGAAGAGTCTTTGGGTTTTAACTTGAAACAGTGAATTGGAAAGTGAAAGAGAAAGAGAGTAATTGGTTTTGTTAATAAAGAGTGAGCGACAGGGCATTAAGGCTGAATCACATGCCCACAATAAAGTCTGTTATTTAATTTCTAAACTTTAAACAACCAACAATAGGAATTTTCTTATAAGGAAATGTAGTTTTGTTTGGTAATTGGGTTTATAGTCTTTAGACACTAGTTCTGTTTTATTTTAAGAAAACTACAATTTCATAACGTAATTCTAGATAACCCGAGTTTAAATCTTTTGAAGTTTTTGATTTCGGTTCGGTTTGTTTCGGCTAGTATTGTTTAAAAATTGTCTTGTTTATTTACTATTTCAACAATTTCGTTACTCTTTTCGCTAAAACATTTAATAATGGGGTGAAAAAAATATGAATAATAGACCATACAAATGGTGGGACTTCATTTTTACTCAATTTTGTAATAAATACAATTTTTTAAGACGACTGTAATGATTAATCTCCTATATATTAAAAGAAAAGCATTTTTAGAGAGAAACCTTAAATTTGTAGAATATTACAGTGGTGCAATTATGCTGATGTGTCATCACTATAGAGTTTCTCAGTATTTTTATAAAACAATATTTCTGATACTAGAATATTTACATGTTATGCCATTATGCATTGTTATGACCAAACATATATTATACCTTTATAAACTATTCATTGATATATATTAGTTAATATTTAAAAAACAAATCTACACATATATTTAAATTTATCCATCGACATATTATGCACCATATAAATGTATTTTTTTATTATAATATGATGCAATTTTTATAATATATTCAACTATTATAGTTCTAAAAAAAATAATTAAAATATTATACATTAATCATATTAAAAAATAAATAGTATAGTTAGTAGATTCATTCATTCCAATAGTTAGTATCTTTTATATTTGTATCAAACATAATTATTAATGGTTTATACTACTTTTGTATTTTGATTCGTAAATCTTAACTTTAGAAATAGTGGTTTAGAATAAATCGCATGCATATGAATTAATAAATAATTTTTTTAATTTTGATTGTTAAATCTTGGCTTTAGAAATAGAGGTTTAGAATTAATCGCATGCATAGAAAAATAAACTAATCACATATAAATTAATTTACATGCTAAATATGTATTAAATGATAACTTGAGAAAGACGTATCAATATGCATTAACTTAAAATTATTCATGCATCAATATATAGGAACTAATAAATTAAAAGGGGATCAATATATGCCAAGTACTCCATATATATGCATTAAATGAGTAATTGCCAAATTTAATAGTTGATTAATAACGTTATTGATGTGTTTTCGTCTTTCTCAATCTATGATTAGTAGAGTTAATACGTCTTTCCTAACTATTAGGTAATTATCGATACTACTAATTACTATTTAAGAAATGACATATTTCATTGTTCATTTGATAGTTAGTAAAAACATAGTTCAACCGATTAGTATCTTAAATATTAATTTCATATCTATAATTGAGTCATTTCATTATTTAATATCTTATATTTTAATTATTACATGTGCCATAAATACTTATTATATATATCATGATTTAAATTGTCACCCAACTATATATAAGACGTGTGCTATATGCACTCACATATCACTTTCTCATTGCATTTTCTGGTTAAAGTTTTTCTACAGTTCATTCTCATGGCATCTTTTAGTTCTACTACTGATCTGAAACCTAGAGGCTTCAATCGTTTTCTGGGTTTGAATTTTGTTTTTTAGTTCCGTTTTTTCAATAATTTCCGTCCTTTATGTTTCGTTATTTGTTTCTGTAAAATTCTAATGAAGCCTTTATTTTTTAATCTTCGGTCTCTTTACATATTGTTTTGTATATAGTTTAAGTACATTG